CAGTGCGGCTATTCATCACGGCGGGACATCAGACTTACGGCTGCTGCTACAGGCGAAATACACGCGGCAACCACTGTTACTGTGACACTTCGTTGGCGTCTTGGCCAATTGATCGGACTTCACAGTTACGTGCCGTCTGCAGTCTACTTCGTCCTCTGTGGGTATGCTTCCACCGGTGCGCTTCTTGTCTGGTCTCCCAGACCCGCACTTCAGGATGCGTTCAAGACGCACGCCACGGTTGAGGGGAACCAGTTCCGGCGGTGAATGCAGGTAGTTGCCTGCTTTCAGTTTTGTGAGTTTCTACGCACTTGCGCGCACATGCCTACTCTTTGCCTTCTCCCTCAGGGCCCTGTGCTGCCGTGTTGTCTCTTGAGTTTGGCTCGGCCTCCGCAGCGCCGTTGCAGCAGTGACTTTGAGTTTGGCTCGGTCCTGTAACCCGCAGGTAGATTGTCGTGACCACTGCCTGCTCGCCCGCTTACCCTGCGTCAGCCAAGAGTGTTGCCGACTGTTGCGCGAGCGCGGCTCATGTGTGACTTACTCTGTCATTGTGTAGGCTCGCTTGAAGTGTTCGCTGTTTTGAGTCTCGCAGCTTACCGCCAGTCCCTCGGTCAGAGGGCCAAGCACTGACGTGCGAAGCTTCCCGCCAGAGGGTGGTCGCCTCGCGCGTGGTGTCCTTGCGCGCGCGCGCGGGTCGGCCTCGCGGCTGGCCCGTGCATGTTCGCAAGGCCTCTTGATCTTGGGGTTGCGTCGTCATAAAACAAACGCGCTGAGACTCGAAGACTCGCGCGGTGGACGTTGGTTCGGACCCGGAAGGAACTATTCAACTGGGGAGGTGCAGGAGGGGAAAGTCTCGGGGGACCTTCGTGATTCGACCCTGGTGGATTACCCAAAATGGCCATTTCGCTGGATACATCCTCACAGTTCGCCTGAGACATCCTCACAAGATGGAGATATCGGAAGATTTATTTTGGGGCGATTTATGTTAACAGTGAAGCTCTCGCTGCAGACATCCTCGAAAAGTGGAGATCTTGAAATCTCTCGCGAAATTCGCTGGTCTCCAATAGTGTGCGTTCCGCCTGAGACATCCTCCAACAAAAATAGATGCCGAAAGAGCTTTTGTTATACTTCAAATGTTAAACATGTAGTTCTCGCCCGAGACATCCTCGAACAACGAATATGTCCAGGGAGCGTGCGAATTCGTCGTATTGTAATTATCCCAGTGCGACCTTACCTAGGAGTTGGAGCCTCTAGGAAAATTATGCTAACGGAGTTCCCCACATAAAGAGATTCACGGTTTCGTGGAACCCATTTTCTTGATGCCCTCCTCGCTTTGGCGGGGCCCCGCTGGAAGGGGGGAGGGCTACGAAACCTGGCGAAGAGTAGTGCTTTCCGCGACCCTCCTCGTTCAAACGCGGCCTCTCTGGAGGAGTGGAGGGGGGGCACGAAACCATGTAAATAGTATGGTTTTCGGATACCCTCCTCGCTCAGGCGGGGCCTCCCTGGAGGTGTGGGAGGGGCACGAAACCATGTAAATAGTATGGTATTCCGATTCCCTCCTCGCTCAGGCGGGGCCTCCCTGGAGGTGTGGGAGGGGCACGAAACCATGTAAATAATATGGTTTTCGGATACCCTCCTCGCTCAGGCGGGGCCTCCCTGGAGGGGTGGGAGGGGCACGAAACCATGTAAATAGTATGGTGTTCGGATACCCTCCTCGCTCAGGCGGGGCCTCCCTGGAGGGTGGGAGGGGCACGAAACCATGTAAATAGTATGGTTTTCCGATACCCTCCTCGCTCAGGCGGGGCCTCCCTGGAGGGGTGGGAGGGGCACGAAACCATGTAAATAGTATGGTATTCCGATACCCTCCTCGCTCAGGCGGGGCCTCCCTGGAGGGGTGGGAGGGGCACGAAACCATGTAAATAGTATGGTATTCCGATACCCTCCTCGCTCAGGCGGGGCCTCCCTGGAGGGGTGGGAGGGGCACGAAACCATGTAAATAGTATGGTATTCCGATACCCTCCTCGCTCAGGCGGGGCCTCCCTGGAGGGGTGGGAGGGGCACGAAACCATGTAAATAGTATGGTTTCCGATACCCTCCTCGCTCAGGCGGGGCCTCCCTGGAGGGGTGGGAGGGGCACGAAACCATGTAAATAGTATGGTATTCCGATACCCTCCTCGCTCAGGCGGGGCCTCCCTGGAGGGGTGGGAGGGGCACGAAACCATGTAAATAGTATGGTATTCCGATACCCTCCTCGCTCAGGCGGGGCCTCCCTGGAGGTGTGGGAGGGGCACGTATGGTGTGGTATGGTATGTGGTAGAAACTATGGTATGGTATGGTGTGTGTGGTAGGAATAATATTGTGCTGTATGGAAGATGGAGCGGGAGGTGGGTGGGAAGGAGAGGGTGTTCTGGGAAAACAAGAACCCCACTCAGGATGTGGGGAACAACATTAGTAGGAGCGGTCAACGCCGTCCTCGTCTTTTTCCTCATCGTCGTAGTTGTAGCAGCAGCAATACACATATATATATATATACATGTATGTATGTATGTATGTATGTATGTATGTATGTATGTATGTATGTATGTATGTATGTATGTATGTATGTATATTTATACACATCATCAACAAACGTGGATGGTGTGCTGCGCTATGCTATGCTATGCTATGCTATGCTATGCTATGCTCTGCTATGATCTGCTATGCTATGCTATGCTATGATATGCTATGCTATGCTATGCAATGCTGTACTGGGCTAGGCTAGGCTATGCTATTCTATGCTATGCTGCGCTATGCTGTGCTGCGCTATGCTATGCGATGCTGTGCTATGCTATGCTATGCTGTGCTTTTGCTTTTGCTTTGCCTTCGCTTTTGCCTTCGCTTTTGCCTTTGCTTTTGCTTTTGCTTGGCACCCAGGGAGCGCAACTGGGGGAACCGCCCGGGGCGGTTTCCAGTGTCCGGCCCTTTAAGCAAACCGAGTAAGAACCCTTCTGGGCAGAGCACCGGTAAGGAAAACATGAGTATCCCGCCTGAGACATTCTCCAAAACTGTCTTATGACATATGTTGGAGGCATTACCCAAGACGGCCCAATATTGAACATCTTTAAACAACATGTATTTTTTTCAACCGTTTCGCTCAATAGTATGGTTTTGGTTCGATACATCATCAAATTTTGCATTGTCGTCGTCGTCGTCGCTGTTGCCGTCGTCTGTGCCATACGCATCGTCACCGTCGGTGTCGTCCTCCCCTTCTTCGTCATTGTCATCGTCGTCGCTGTCGTCGTCATCGTCACCGTCGTCGTCATCATCGTCGTCGTCGCCGTCGTCATCGTCGTCGTCGTCATCGTAGATGCGCCAGCGGGTAGTGCGCCTCGTCGGAAGTCGCGCGGAAAGTAAATTCGACCCCGCATAGGGGAACGCGGTTTGAAGACGGAAAATGCCGAGATGTGCCAGCGGGGGGTGCGCCTCGTCTGAACTCGCGCGGAAGGTAAGCTCGACCTGATACAAGGGGAACGCGAGTGGTGAGAGGGGGTCTGGAGACGGATGATGCCGAGATGCGCCAGTGGGAGGTGCGTTTTTTTTTGAATTCGCGCGGAAAGTAAGCTCGACCTGACAGGGGAAAGCGGTCTGAAGACGGAAAGTGCCGAGATGTGCCAGCGGGGGGGGTGCGCCTCGTCTGAACTCGCGCGGAAAGTAAACCCGACTTGGCACAAAGGGGACCGCGAATGGTAAGATAGGGTGTGTGGAGACGGATATCGCCGCGATGCGATAACATTGTATGGTGCTGAGTTTGCCTGTTCTTGCAAAGCTCGTCGCTTTCACGCGCTTCCCGTTCATATCAAGAAAACACGTTTCTCAACATAGCGATTTTGTTTTGGACATTTTCGGAACAATTCGATATTCGCAACATCGCGGTTAAACACAACAAGCGTTTCGCCCGAGACACTTTCGGACAACTGAGACCCGCGATATTCAGTAATCTGTAAAATTTGCGTTTCGCTTGAGGCATCCTGGCCAACGTGAGTTGTCGACGGAGGTGTATTACTACCTCTTATGTTGAAAACTACGTTTTCGCTAGGCACGTCCTCAGAAAATGAGCAGCAGCACGGCGGACCAGAAAACAAGAGCACGCCACAAACTTTGCATTTCGTTGGGGGCATCCTCAGCACAATGAGATGTTCTCAACATCGTCCTGACGTGACTCTTGAAGTGCTTCAATATGAAGAAGTGAGCCCAACAAGGACCGAACGACGGCTCCAAGAGCGCTTCGGTGACTGCCGAAAAGGACGATATCGCTAGGGACAACGTCTTGCAAACCGCTGTTCTAACATCGTCTTGTAATCGCTCCTGAAAAAAGGGCTTCCACACGGCCCAAGCCAGCCTTCTAAAACTGACGATTTCGCTAGGGACATCCTCACCACATAGATGCGTGTGACACCTCACTGACATAATTTTTTAAGGCATCGAGACGGCCCCACACAAGCCCCAAACGAGGCCCAATCTGACTCCAAGAGCGCCCTCGAGATCATCAACATGCACATTTCGCTTGAGACATCCTCAAGCACTTACGATGTTCTCAACATCGCCCTTTACAGCAGCAGACGTTTCGCTTGAGACATCCACCAGAAACTGAACGTAGCGAATTTACCACACCTATGGACATCGGGCTATCACCTGAGACATCCCCGAACACATGAGATGCTGAAAAGGTTGATGTCAAACCATGCATGTTATGATTAAGCTTCTCGCGTGAGACATCTTCAGAACATGGGCAGGCAGCCGGCAGACCAATACGCAGAAGCACGGCAGAACGCGCGGGAGCACGGCAGAACACACAGGAGCACGGCAGAACACACAGGAGCATGGCAGAACCCAAAAACACACGGGAACATGACAGAACACAGGAGCTCGGCAGAACACGCAGGAGCACAGCAGACCACACAGGAGCACCAGCCGAGGAGCTTCCGTCGGCGGGAGCGGCCCTCGGCGTCGGCGCTCCCACCAAGCGGCCATGCCTGCAGAGCAGCCGCTCGACGGGGAGCTGCACGAGCGCCATCTCGGCCGCTGCTGTCGCCTTCAGCATCCTGGGGCACGCGCTCTGCTACGCCTGCGCGGGCGCAGGCGAAGACGCCCAGGAGATCGTGGCCTGCTCCAGCTGCGGGGCCTACAAGGTGCTGGGCAGCCACGCAGGAGCCAAGCCTCGCCTGAAGGAACAGTGCCCAGGCGACAAGAGGAGCAAGGCAGACAGGAACCAGCGCAGCCTGTGGGAGCGAGGGCTCCATCCAGGAGGCAGGCCACGAGCGGATACGCAGAGAGTGAAGGGATAGGGCATCCCCGCTCTGCGTGCGCAGGGGCCAGTGCCAGGGCATGCCCAGGAGCGCTACCTGGAGTGGCTAGGCATTGAGGCGGAGTCTGCAGGTGGTGCCTCGGCTGCGGCCAGCAGCTCAGGCGGCGGCCCAGCTGCTCCCGCGGCAGTGCTGGCGGCGGAGGAGGCGGCTGCCAACCTGCCCCAGCAGCAGCCAGCCTTGAAGAGAGCTGAGCGTCTCGGAGTGCGCGGGGACACCGAGGAGGGGTTGGCCAGCCGCGTACAGCACGGCGATCGACGGCCAGGGGAGCCGCAGGGTCAGCCGCCGTCTGGCGCGGCGCGGCCCGCCGTCTGTGAGTGAGTGAAGAAGAAGTATCGTCTCGCTCACGTGTGTTGCTCCCTGTGGCGAGTAGGCACGCGTGGCACGCTCTGCTTTGGACTCGGCTTCTTTCGGGAACGGTTGTCCCGTCTGGCCCTGTCCGCGTTCTGTTTATCCCTTGCGCCTTGAAGGCCCCGTCTTTAACTTTAATTTTAATTTTAACTTTAACTTTAACTTTAACACAGGAGCACTAGGGGCACAGCAGAACACACAACATACATGAGCGCGGCAGAAGACGCAGGAGCACGACAAACACACATAGGCACACATGAGCACGGCAGAACGCACAGGAGCACGACAAACTGCGCAGGAACACGACAGAAAACGCAGGAGCATGAGGAGCACGGCCGAACACAGAAAACATAGGAGCACGGTAGAACACACAGGAGCTCGGCAGAACACACGGGAGCGTTGCAGAGCACATAAAACACATAGGAACACGACCTAACACAGGAGCACGGCAGAACACACAGGAACACGGGAGAACACACAGGAGCTCGGCAGAACACATAGGAGCACGGCAGATCACGCAGGAGCACGGCAGAACACGCGGCAAACCACGCCGTATTACGGCAGACCTCACAGGAGCACGGCAGAACACAGAATTCATATGAGCACTGCGGAACACACAGGAGCTCGGCAGAACACAGAGGATCGCAGCAGATTGCACAAAACACATAGGAGCACGGGAGCACAGCAAAACACACAGGAGCACGGCAAAACACACAGGAGCACGGCAGAATACATAGGAGCACGGCAGAGCAGGACCATTGCAGAACACACAGGAGCACGGCAGAACATATAGGAACACGGGAGAACACGCAGGAGCACGGCAGGACACCCAGAACATCCATTCACACAGCTGCACGCACAGACACACACACACACAGGGACACGCACACACAGGCACACGCACACGCACACGCACGCACAGACATATACACATATACACACACGCGCACACGCACACACAGGGAGGCACCATACGTTCACGCAGACCGCAGGAGCATGGCAGAGCAGCACGGCACAATACAGCAGTGCCGCAGACCACCACGAACGGACGCACATGCACACATTCCACGCTCGCACGCGCACGCGCAAACGCACGCACGCCACGACAGACTCACGCAGCGCATACTAAGAACGTAGGGTATCTCATAAGCCCAGGACGCACAGGACGCTTCCCGTTCTTGTCTGGTCAAGTGCTGGGTTACGGGTTGCACTGGGCACCCACGCTGGCGGATGTTTGAAATATGGCTGTTTCGCTGGAGACATCCCTCTCCTGATTCAACGTCCTTCTCCAATTGCCTCTTACTTTCCTCCGTTGCCGTCGTATTCGTCGTCGTCGTCATTGTCCTCCGCATTCCTCCTCGTACTCGCCCTCGTTCTCTTCGTCCTCCTCCTTGTGCTTCTCTTCCTCCTCGTTGTCCTCATGCTCCTCCTCGCTATCTTCACGTTCTCCACGTCGTCCTCGTCATCGCCTCCTCGTCGCCCTCGCCTCCCTTTTCTTTTGCTTCTTCTTCGCACAATGAGCCTATTGGACAAAAGCGGTGCTTCCCGTTCTTGTCCGATCAGGTTTCTGAAACATGGCCGTTTCGCACGAGACCTCCTCAACAAATCGGGCCCAGAGGGGACTCCGAATCGACATCATCTTGGAATCGCTCTTGGAGGGCTTTCGAATGGTCCAAAGGAGGCCCAAAAGACGCCCTGGAGGGCCCCTAGAGCGCCCAAAAGCGCCCCAAGAGGGCCCCCAAAGACCCCCAAGAGCGCTCCAGGAGGCACCCAGGCAGCTCAGGAGAGCCCCAAGACGGTCCAAGACGGGCCAAAAGGGCCCCAAGAGACTTCAGGGAGCGCCCAGGAGGTCCCCAAACGGCCCCCAAGATGGCGCCGAGACGGCCCCAGATGGCGCCGAGACGGCTCAAGAAAGCGCCGAAAGAACCCCACGACGCGCCCCGACAGTCCAAGAAGACCGGCAGAAGCCCACAAGAGGACTTCAGAGGCCCTTGAGAAGCCCCCCAGCAGGCCCCAAGACAACCCCGCGTGGCGCCAAGAGCCCCCAGGATATAGCCCGATAGGGTCACCAGGACTCCCTCTTGATTCAACGTCCTTCTTTAATTTCCTCTTACCGTCCTCAGTTGTCGTCGTTGTTGCCGTTGTCGTTGTTGCTGTCGTCGTCGTCGTCGTCGTCGTCCTCCGCATTCCTCCTCGTACTCGCCCTCGTTCTCTTCGTCCTCCTCCTTGAGCTTCTCTTCCTCCTCGTCATCCCCATGCTCCTCCTCGCTATCCTCACTTTCTCCACGTCGTCCTCGTCATCGCCTCCTCGTCGTCCTCGCCTTCCTTTTCTTCTGCTTCTTCTTCGCACCATAAGCCCATTGGACAAAAGCGGCGCTTCCAGTTCTTGTCCGATCAGGTTGGTGCTTACCGCATTCGCCGTGCTAGTCGATCCTCTGTCGGGCCATGCGAACCGACATGGATGTCTGTGAGCCACATGTGAGCCGATATGTCTTTCTGGAAGCACTGCCGAGGTCGGCTGATGTTCCGGTCGAGCTGTTCCTTCGGTCCATGCGTGGAGCTGGCCAGACGGGTCATTTTCTTCGACTCGCTCGACCTGTGTAGGAACATGCCATCGACAAGAGTAAAGTATTTCGGCATCGATTCTCGCACAGTTGTTTATGTTGCCCACAGTTTGATCGCCTCGCAGTTTGCTGTTGCCATTAGGATAGAGCTGCAAGACGCGGCTCTCAGCATTCAATGCGCGACTAAAGGGGGTCGCAGCCAGACATGTTTCTAGGCCGGGGAGTGTCCAAGCAAGAAATTACCACAGTGGTCATGCATCATCGGGATCGGTACTCGCTTACAAGAGTGTCCTTGTTGGAGCAGTTGTGCTGACCTTTCTTTCGCGCATGTGGTATGGTTCGTTTCGAGCCCTGTCCGATTCACCCACTCGTGCTGATTTTCGCCAGTTAGTCTAAGCCGTTCGTAAGGATGGTGTCGGTGTGTGCGACCATTCCACCCGCTTCATTCGGAAGGAACTTGTTTGATGGTTTTTCTTTTGGACCCGTCTCTCTTGCAGCTGAAACCTAGCTCATGCATGGTACTTGTCGCCTCATGGCCACGACTATCACGAGTGCCGCTTCCACAGACAGCCCATGCTACATCGCACACCTCTGAAAGTGTGAGGTGGCAAGGGGAACACTCGTTGACGGGCCACTGTCTCACACTCGCTATCAAAAAGAGTGGGGACTCAAAGCAGTGGCACGCGGCATTGCGACTCTTTAGAGATGCATTGCGGTCAGGCACGCCAGTTGCTATCCTCAGCTGCAATGCTTCAATCAGCGCGTGCGGTAAAGGCAAGCAGTGGCAGCAGGCGCTATCGCTACTCAGTGAAGCAAGATATGCGAATTTAGAGCCGAACATCGTCAGTTATTCGAAAGACTTACACCATCCCGACGGCTCCCGACAGGTAGAGAGGGCGAGTGTAAATTGGGCTGCACGGTTTGCCCGAGTACAGTAGAGCGCAAGAGGGGCAACGAGATAAGTTTGAGGGGTAGTTGGCAGGATGTTGAGAATTTCTTGTTCTTAGTGTTGAGCCCGCTGTGGGAATCTCTTTGAGAATTTTGTTTCGGGTGTGTTGTGGTATATTGGGTCCTGCTTGAGGACCGCAAGAAGATGGGGCATGCTGCGGAGACGACGGAGGAAGATTGTGTCAATATGATGAGGAGGTGGACACGTACGATGGCCGCCGTAGCTGGAGTAATGGAGGTGACGGGCGGTGAGAGTACGCGCCTCGAATGGCCAGCCTTGGTGTTCCATTCCGATGCTGTCAGCGGCAGGAGAGAGAGAGCAAGGAATGAGCCCGCAAAAGGCGGGATTCACGGCGGCCCCCCAGGAGGTAAAGACAACCCTCCGCGAAATCAAACGCAAGTTTTTCCAACCTCCCTCGCCCACGTCAATGTTCAGCGACGTGCGCGACACGGCACGCGGGGTCCGACGAGAAATCGGAGTCTCCAGTTTGGGCGCGAGCATTGAAATTAGGAGCCCAGGGGCGCCGCCACGTCGTGGTCAAGCCTTGTGCTTGCTTCCGCGGAGGGCCGTGACGCGCACGTCTCTTCGTGCGTGAGCGTTTGGTGTTTGGCCTGGACGCACACGCTGGTCACCTCACACGTTAAACAGGGTTGTGGTCCGTTTTTTTTTTTTTTTTTTTTTTTTTTTTTTTTTTTTTTTTTTTTTTTTTTTTTTTTTTTTTTTTTTTTTTTGTGTGTTTTTTTTTTCTTTCTTTTTTTAATATATATATATATATATATATATATATAGGGGGGGGGTTGTTTGAGCTGTCTACAACACAACTGCTCGTCTGGGAGGGCCGTGACCCCGTCGCTCTCACTGGCGACCTTTGGAGCACACGCCCCGCGTTTTCCTTCCCGCCCCCGGCAAGAGCGGGGGTCGGCGGATAACGCCGCGATCGCCGCGTGCGAGAAAGGCTGCGTGTGGCAGCACAGCCTGTCCTTGCTCCGAGGCTCCGTGCAGGCGAGGCTGGAGCCGACCGTCATCACGAGGGCGCCCCATCGAGGGCGCGAGGCCCTTCGCGCTCCGCGCTCCGCGGCTCGGCTCCGAGTCCTCCCCCAATCTTGATCCCCCCCTCGGTCCTCCCCAATCCTCGATCCTCCCTCGATCCTCCTCAATCTTGATCCTCCCTCGTTCCTCGATCCTCCCCAGTCCTCGATCCTCTCCAATCTTGATCCTCGATCCTCCCCAATCTTGCTCCTCGATCCTCCTCCAAATCTTCTTCCTCCTCTTCTCCTCCCCTGGGGGGGGGGCTTCGGTAGCAAGTCATGGGAGCCTTGTGTATCCTCGTAACTCTGTCTTCAGCGTCGATTTGCGTCTGGGAGTCGATGAGATAGCGCCGATTTAGCGTCGGCTACCGTCGATTTGGCGTCGATCAGCGAAGATTTAGCGTCGACTAGCGTCGAGTCGCAAGAGCT